TTCGTATAGTCCATTTCCTGGCCAGTTCTACACCTTCTAATAACGAAACTACATAGGAAGAGGCAGACTTAGGAATATCCAGGGAAGGAACGGCAATGTCCAAAAGTGTCTTTGGATATCTTCCGTGGACAAGGGAGGAGGGTGAATATTCCTTGCTATCCTATGGCAAGCCGTTTTCACATTTATTACGGAATTACAGATATCTTGAATTGTTTTAAAGATATCTTGAATTGAATTGAAGATATCTTGAGTCGAATTGAAGATACCTTAAATGCAGATAATTGTAGATATCTGCAATAAAATTTAAGATATCACGAAATAAATTAAGGATATGGTGAAGCGTATTACTGATATCTTGAAAAGAATTGCTGATATCTTAAATTCGATTATTGATATCAAAATATGATTTAAAGATATCAAAATATCATGTTTAGTTATGTCAATAATTCTATTCCTGATATCTTGAAACTAAATACAGATATCAATGATTAATTTTTTATATCTTCAATTGTTGCCATTATCAGAGATGTTACATTAATAATGTTACTTAAATTAGATAACGGATATCAATATTTGATATAAAGATATCATCATAATTATTAATGATATCTTTAATTGGATTTTTGATATCAGTAACGGTCAGAAGTAATGATATCTTGAATTGAATTAAAGATATCTCTAATTCATTTGTGGATATGCATAACTTATTTCAAGATATCTTGAATTGAATTAAAGATATCTCTTATTGAAATAAAGATATCTCTAATTGAATCAAAGATATATCTAATTCATTTGTGGATATGCATAACATATTTCAAGATATCTTGAATTGAATTAAAGATATCTTGAATTCATTTCTAATATATTTATGTACTGTAGGATGGTAATTGCTTAATGATATATAACTACATTTTGAGATATCACAAATTAATTTGTTGATATCACCGTAACATTTTAAGATATCAGTAATTGTATTATGGATATCAGAAATGAATTTAAGATATCTTTAATTATTTTTTGAAATCTTAAAAACATTATAGATATCCTTATATAAAATGCCGATATCTTTAAAACAATTGAAGATATCTGTAATTCCGTAATAAATGTGAAAACGGCTTCCCATACTATCCACAGCTGGTGTTGTATTGTAGGAAAACTGAATGAATGGAATAAATGTATCCGTATGGGAATGCACTTCCTCAACTTTCTCTCACTCTGGCCGTTGCAGCATGGATGATAACTCGTTGTTTGTGTCTTCTTGATATCGAGCAACTTGCAGGTCTCTTGAACAATGTTACTCAGGTAGTTTGTTCCTCTATTTGAATGAAGATACTCTGGAATGCCATGTCGACAGATCACATTTTTGATGAATTCTGAAGCAACAGTTCTAGCCTTAATGTCAGGTAGCGGCATCAATTCAACATATTTCGTCAAATAGTCAACAAAGACTAACACATACTCATTACCGGTTTGCTCACATTGCTGGCTTAAGTCCACGAATAAATGCTGATAGTTTCTAACCATTTGTTTTATTTAAAAGTGCATATTTAAGTTCAATGTCTGTGATATACGTTTCCAGGTTTTCAAATTCTGACATTTTCCTGTCCCACAACTGTTGTTCGAAAAGCCATAAAGGTTGGTTTGACACAAAATGTTCAGTAAATGTAGAGAAAAGTCTGTCTTTAGAAAAGCTTAATGTGATCCTGCAGAGAAGTGTACCAAATCAAAGCAATACCTTGCAAGTTCAGCATCATTGCCGGTACAATCTGATTGTCTCTAAATTTCTGCAAGCCAAACCAAGCCTTAAATCGTTCCAACCACATACGGGGGCAATCCAAAGAATGGCTCAGAGCTCCAGATAAGCTTTTGGTGTTGTGGGTATTTTACCCATGCATTTTAAAATCATTGGGTATCAGTAATTCTATCTGGGTATTCAAATTTCTGTTACCCACTAGTTTTTACACCTGTGGGTATTTAAGTGAATTATTTAAAAACACTAATCTAGTCCCTGCAAACTGGTGTCGTGTGGGTTCGAGAGCTTTATAGTACCTAAAAATACCACGATACTTCCATAAGAAAGTGTGATGGCAAATGATCATGATGTAACTGTGGAGTTTGGCAAGGTTGACGGAATGCCCATTTATAATTTCAAAATAAGTTGCTGATTTGCTAATTAAATACGCAGGGTTACTTCACAATATTTTGATGATACACACAAGTTTTATTTTTGTAGCGTATCTGTAATGTTCGTTGCGTATTTGATACGCTTGGATTTACTACCTGATGGGCCCCTCTCCGTTATGAGTTGGTCAGAACGGCCCTTCAGTTTTTCCCATTTGAGTCCAGCCTTGGCGGACCACATGACTCCCCCGCCAAGGCCAAGGCTGTTTCTCTGCGGCTCAAGGTAGTTGCGCAGCCTGGCCGCGTAGCTGGACCCTATGGTCCAAGCTGACCCTTGGTTGATGGCCGTGGAACCTTTCCCCACTCCGTGGTAGCCAGTGGGGTGACAAATGTGGGGATTGGACTCGAGGCTGAGGAATGAACCTGTGCAGAGACCATATGCCGGTATATGGTCACAGCCCTGTGACTGTATCTGCGAGGGATGTCCCCCTGACGCTGGTAGTGTCGTGTGAGGAGCCGCGGTCGCGGGGACAGCACCACTCATTGTGAAAATTGATTTCATTGGCTGATATGTAGACTTAATTGCACAGTCTATCTACTGTTATGGTGTGGTGCTTAGCAGCTATACGGGTAGGGCAAGAAGTGTTGCTATTTTTGTTAATTCTACAAAAAAAACCATCGTATACACTGTTACATCTTCCCGCGGCAAAGGTGTTAACTGACTTTATGAGAAACTGGACTTTCTCATAAAGTCAGTTAACCCCTTTGCCGCGGGTAGATGACACTGTTAGTGTGTGAAACGACCTTTGACCTTTACATGAATAATTAAAAGAAAATTAATGTCTGCAATTAGTTTTTTATAACTAACACCCTGTTTGGATACTCTAAACCACCTGCTACCCTGTTCCAATACCTGTCAGGGATTAATCCCCTGGGTAGACAACCGAAGGCATTTAAATGTTACTGATAAGGCATGCGTTGACATTTGTTTGTAGTCTCCCTAAAATCAAAGATCACCCTTCCTATTTATAACTCGACAGTTTCAAATCTCGACCAGGTAGAGCAGGCGGGGGCCTGATCATATACGTCAGGTAGAACATAAACTATCAGGAAATACCAATTAAAAAAACAAATCTAGAAGCTAATTGTATACAAATAACTCACCAAAATAAACATTGTAAACATATACCACTGGGCATTGACACAAATTAAACCTAAAGACTGAGAAACCTTGAATCAAATAGGCCAAAAAAACCTTGAATCAAGTAGGCTAAAAATCTACCTTCTTTTGGGGCGACAACGCCAACCACCCCTCCTGGGGTGTTAATAGATAAAACAGACCAACACGGCAAACTCATCGCCGACTAGATCGAATAAAATAAATAACAATAATAAATAACAAGCAACCAGATTAGATTAAATTAATCGAAATATGTCAGCTATTAATCTAACAATATGTACTCCTGATCTCGCCCAAAGCACTTTTTGGGAAGTGCATGAGGATCCAGTCGGCAGCGACCACGTTCTAATACATATAATGATAGGAAACATAAACATCCAAACCCATTAAACGAACCACAAAAACATGAAACATAAATAACTCAACAAACCCTAAACAAAAAGCAAATAACGTAGCAACCACTTCTCAGCCATTAGCAGCAATAGTAATTTCTCAGGAATTCCGAAAACAATTAAAAAATGAAAATAAATTCGCCACTTTACCTGAAGAAGATAACCTAGAAATAAATCAACCAGACGCAGTAGAGGAACTACTCCATGTATTAAACAATCGAAAACAGCCCTCTAGAGACCTAACCTCATACAAGTTAATTGAAAAACTACCCACAAATATTCTGGAATCACTTCATAAACTATACAATCTCATCTACCAACACGGTCAGGTTCCGACTTCGTGGAAAGAGGCATTGATCATCCCAATACCAAAGCCGAACAAACCGGCAGACGAGGCAAATTCTTACAGACCAATCTCCCTAACCTCAAATTTATGTACAATCATGGAGTCAACGCATCTGAATATTATGATAAACAACCTATTCGAGGAAATGTCAAATAAAGTTCAAACGTGTAAATACGCAGATGACAATCTGGATCCGCACAAGAAGCATAAATATGGCACAAAAATTATTACAGGAGGCATTAAACAAAATTCAAATATGGGCAAATAAATGGGGCTTCTCACCAAATACCGAAAAAAACAGGGATAGTTTTCAAACACAACATATGCGCTTAAACACCCTTAACTATAACTAAACAATAATTCTATAAATTTCCTAAATAGACCAAATTTCTAGGACTTTGATGAACATAAAAACCAGGTGCTCTTATTAAAAACCTAATTAAAAGATGTACTAAAGGCCTGAATACTCTACGCTGCCTGACAGGTTCCAACTAGGGGGCCTCCAAGGAGACCCTACTATCATTATACACATCATTAATTAGATCAAAAATAGACCATGGATGCCCAATATACAATGCCTTAAACACAACACAATAAACTAAACTCAATCCAATACCAAGCACTTAAGATAATCACTCGCACACACTAGGGCACCTAGCTTACCTCACTGCAGGCCCTAACAGGCGAAATCCCCCTGGATTTAGGGCGACAACAGTTAATAAATTTCTGGGCCTCAACCTGATGAAGGAGTAACTGTATACTCAATAACTGTAATTGTATTACTGTGTTACTCATAATAAAGAAGTTGCCGTCCATAAAATTCTCTTCCTTAGGGATACACGTAATTATAGTGCGTCCTTGCAAGACTATTACACACAACAGACCAGATTTGCAAGAACACACGCGCACACATACGACATAATACGTTTTTCCTTCAAGTATTTTCTGTTTTCTTTTTCAGATACGGCGCTATGGTCATCAGGTGTCCCTTCACTGAACACCCGAAGCTAACAACAGTGACTATAACTGTGGGAAACTCCACAGCTTCTCTTGGCATAACGTACCCTTCTTCCCTGAGATTCAACTTCACAGTATGTGTTCCACCTTTGTTTGGTGCTTTCAGAAACCCAACGAGCATTATTGAAATGGTGGAGATGGATCTGCTACTTGGGGCAGACCGTTTCATATTTTACAACGAGTCTATTTCCCCCCTGGTAAACAAGGTCTTAGAACACTACAGGAAAAACGGAATTGTGGAAGTTTTACCGTGGAAGATTCCAGTTCATGACATTCAATATCACGGACAGTTAGCTTCAGTACAAGATTGCCTTATGGCTAATAAAATGAAAAGCAAATTTCTCATCATGAAGGATATAGACGAATTTATTGTACCACACAAACATAAGAACTGGCATGAGCTGATGAAAGACGTACACGACTGTAAACAGACTAACGCCAGTGCATATCTCTTTCGGAATGCCTTCTTTAACCTCAAGTATGGTGTCGATGTGAAGGGATACACGAGAAAAGCAGAATCCCAAAGACTGCATCTAAGAAGTATGTTGTATGTGTGGCGAGACAAGGTATTTCTTCCCACCAGGCAAAGAAGCAAGATGATGGTTCTTCCTGACCGAGTTGAAATATCAGGGATTCATTTTCTTTGGAAATCTGTTAAAGGATTCAAAGAAGTCACCATTGATACTAACATTGCGTTTTTACACCATTACAGAGAGTGGAAGGCTTCGGAAAAGGTTAAAGACGACATTATCCGAAAGTATGGCGACCATCTCATAAAGAATGTTAATAAAACTCTCTCATTGACAGCAGTTAATAACACAAGGGTTGTCACAGATCACCATTAATCTGAACACATCCGTTCCTTGCAACGACGTTTCAGGGATACCTAACGAAGGGGACTGACTGACTGATATAGGAGATTTAACGTGCGCTTTCCGACTGTAGCGTATTTCGCACACGGGCCTGGCCAGACCATTTGGTGTATTCCGAAAAGGGTGAAAGTGGTGTGTGCAACACAAGAGGGGGCTTTTAGGGGTTGCTTATATCGATTTTTGGAAATTTTAAAATTTGGAATAAATGCCGAGGTGGGTGGAGGAGGGAACTAAGGGAGCCGGGTGAGGTGGGTGTTTGTATGTTTATTGGATTTTGGATTGGTAGATTAATTAGTTTTTAGATGCGCTTCATTAGGCCTGTTTTGATTAGGAATACGTGTAGGGCCTTGAAGTTTTCTAGTTTATTTTGAGGGTTTAGTATTTCATCTAGAGTAGGAACCTTATTTAGATTGAGGGTGGTTTGTAGTGTGGTTCTGTGTGTTTTGTAGTGGGTGCAGTGGATGAGTGCGTGTTCTGTGGTTTCGGGTTGTTTGCAGTGGGGGCAGTTGCCTGTGGTGTGCCTTTTAAGTTTTTTTAGGTGGTTATTTAGGTTAGTGTGTCCTGTTTGGAGTTTTGTAATGGAACTGTCAATTTTTTTTGAGGGGTGTAGGATTTTAGGTTTGGCTAGTGGTTTTCTGAGTACTTTTTTGATTTGGCTATTTGAGTTTTGATATTAATTATGCCATTTTTTGGTTATTTTTTGTTTGTTAACACTTTTAATTTCTGATTTTGAGATGGGTAGGTTTAGGCTTATTTCTGGTATTTTGAGAGATAATTTAGCTGCTTTATCGGCGCTTTCGTTGCCGTAAATTCCTACGTGGGCGGGGATCCACAAGAAGGTTATTTGTTTGCCTGCTTTTGTTAGGTCGTTGGAGCTTTTAAGTATTTGGTTTATTAATTTAGGTCGTTTTTTGGTATTTTTGTTTTGGAGGGCTTGTAGCCCACTAAGCGAGTCAGTGAGAATTAGGATTTTATTGTTGTTTTTAGATTGTTGGTTATGCAGGGCTGAGGCCATGCCTATAAGTTCGGCCGTGAATATAGATTGGTTGTTAGGGAGTCGGTAAGATTGTGTGGATATAACTGGTTGTGTGGTATGGACTCCGAAACCTGTGTGGTTGGAGATCGGGTCTGAAGATCCGTCAGTGTATATGTGACACCAATTTGGCCAATTTTCGTGTATGTATGAAAGTGTGGTGGTTTTAGCTATGTTTGGGTCGGTTTGTTTATTTATTTGGTTAGTCAGCGTTGTGTCTATTTTGGGTATTTTGAGTTTAGGGGTGAAGATATTTGATTTTTTGCAGTTTTGTTTAAGATTTTTTTGAGTTTGGTGTTCATTGAGGTAGTTAGTTATTCTTTGGGATATTGGGGTGAGTAAGGGGTGTTTGCGAGCTAGAGCTTGGTTTCTTGGGCTAATGTTTTGGTTAATTAGGTTTTGGATGAGAGGGTTTGTTTGGGACGCGGCCCAGAAATTAAGGCTTAGATGTTCCCTGCTTTAACCAACGTGTCTGCTTTAAATACGACGATCAGTGACATTATATTTACTTAGATATTTACTTATAAATATAAACGCCATGCCGACAGACTGAAATTTGTATCACGATAGCTAGAAGTATTTGATACGTTTCAAATCTTGTTTCGTTTAACAATTGCTCTTTTACATGTTACCAAGATCAGCGACGCTTCCACACAGCTCCACTTTCTGGTTTTCAAGCGATTTACTCCGAATTACTTATTTATGATGCACTTTTTTGTTTGGTGATTGTTCATTAATGTCATGTTTGTATGTTGCATCAATTATATGTAGGTATGATCGCCGATAATGAAGTAATTAGCCAGTAACACTTTGGCCCGTCTTGGCCCGGCCCGGCCCGACTTTTAGGCAATGAATTAGGGGCCACTGACCTGCACACAACTCCGTGCTGCTGGCCACAGTTACGAGGGGCGTTCAATAAGTTTTGTAACTTCAGTTGAAGACCAAGTCGCAGAGTGTCTTTTGCACTTTTATTTATCGATATAATCTCCACTCATCTCAATACACGTATTCCATTGTCCTTCAAGCTTTTAATACCACTTTTATAGAAATCCACAGATTGGCCCTCTAATTTTTAGAGGGGATTGCCTAAAAGTCGGGCCAAGAAAAGTCGGGCCGGGCCGGGCCAGCGGGTAATACTAAAAATGGATTGCAGAATAATAAAACGAAACGCGCATATCTAGGCAGATCTCATGTCCACAAACGTATAGTTTTGCTCATTTAATTGAGTTTGAATAAAAATGCACCTTCAACAATGTAATTAACTGATGATTATGACTACATACCGTGAGTCTCGTAGAAAAGTCAGTGTCTTGACTGTGTGTATTCTTTGATTAGAATGCTTCTCACCGACCTTAGCGTGTAGGGTGTGATGTCCTGGGTAGGAAACGACAGTGTTTTGACTACTCTTCTTTCATTAATTAACGTGTTAGGGTAATTAACCTTTACTAATTCGTGTTAAACCAACACAGGATGTTTTCTGGAAGTGGATATTCGCGAATGTCAAAAGACTGACACGACACATGTTAATAACTGTCCAAGCACTTCTAAAGTTCCTAACATTATTTATATCTAAAGACTAGTATTATATCTAATTATTTACCACTTTATTGTCTCATATTTCAGAGGTTAAAGAAAACACAGAGCTCAAAGTGAAGCCTTTTTCACTCTACATTCTCAACATAGTCTCCATCAGAAGTGTTTCGCTTGTGTTGGGTCCGACTTGGCCCGGACGGTCAAAATCAACTTTAAACACACAAATGTATCATCAAATGTATTTACATCTATAGATTACTATTAAATCTACCTATATACCACTTTATAATGTCCCAGATCGCAGTATTTATAGAAAACAAGGGGCTCAAAGTGAAGCCCTTTTCCCTCTACATTCTCAACATAGTCTCTATAAAAAGTGTTTGGCTTGTGTTGGGTTCGACTTGGCCCGGACGGTCAAAATCTACTTTAAACGCACAGATGTATCTTCAAATGTGTTTACATCTATAGATTAGTCTCATATCTACCTATACACCACTTTATAATGTCCAGGTGTATCGCATTTACAGAAATCTGCGCCGTTAAAGTGAAGCATTTTTACTGTATTTTCTTTAAAAAATCCAAGTCAGAAATGTTCGGTCCGACTTGGCCCGGGCTGTTAAAATGAACTTAAACCTCACAGATGTATCTTCAAATGTGTTTACATCTATAGATTAGTCTTATATCTACCTATACACCACTTTATAATGTCACAGATTGCAGTATTTATAGAAAACAAGGGGCTCAAAGTGAAGCCCTTTTCCCTCTACATTCTCAACATAGTCTCTATAAAAAGTGTTTGGCTTGTGTTGGGTTCGACTTGGCCCGGACGGTCAAAATCTACTTTAAACGCACAGATGTATCTTCAAATGTGTTTACATCTATAGATTAGTCTCATATCTACCTATACACCACTTTATAATGTCCAGGTGTATCGCATTTACAGAAATCTGCGCCGTTAAAGTGAAGCATTTTTACTGTATTTTCTTTAAAAAATCCAAGTCAGAAATGTTCGGTCCGACTTGGCCCGGGCTGTTAAAATGAACTTAAACCTCACAGATGTATCTTCAAATGTGTTTACATCTATAGATTAGTCTTATATCTACCTATACACCACTTTATAATGTCACAGATTGCAGTATTTATAGAAAACAAGGGGCTCAAAGTGAAGCCCTTTTCCCTCTACATTCTCAACATAGTCTCTATAAAAAGTGTTTGGCTTGTGTTGGGTTCGACTTGGCCCGGACGGTCAAAATCTACTTTAAACGCACAGATGTATCTTCAAATGTGTTTACATCTATAGATTAGTCTCATATCTACCTATACACCACTTTATAATGTCCAGGTGTATCGCATTTACAGAAATCTGCGCCGTTAAAGTGAAGCATTTTTACTGTATTTTCTTTAAAAAATCCAAGTCAGAAATGTTCGGTCCGACTTGGCCCGGGCTGTTAAAATGAACTTAAACCTCACAGATGTATCTTCAAATGTGTTTACATCTATAGATTAGTCTTATATCTACCTATACACCACTTTATAATGTCACAGATTGCAGTATTTATAGAAAACAAGGGGCTCAAAGTGAAGCCCTTTTCCCTCTACATTCTCAACATAGTCTCTATCAGAAGTGTTTGGCTTGTGTTGGGTCCGACTCAGCCCGGACGGTCAAAATCTACTTTTAACGCACAGCTATAGATTAGTATTATATCTACCTATACACCACTTTATAATGTCCAGGTGTATCGCATTTACAGAAATCTGCGCCGTTAAAGTGAAGTCAGAAATGTTTCTAGTTTGGGTAGTACTAATATCTCACCTTCACGGACCGCTTCTCCTCTTTGGTGATGGAGGCTGTCAATTTGGACTGCAAAAGAAGAACAAGTGGTTTCACAAAACAAATATATACTCACTATTAGGGAGATATTCAGATATTTGTTTAGTTCAAAATAACGGAAAGAATGTTTCTAGTTCATGTAGTAATAATATCTCACCTTCACAGACCGCTTCTCCTCTTTGGTGATGGATGCTGTCAATTTGGACTGCAAAAGAAGAACAAGTGGTTTCACAAAACAAAGATATACTCATTAAGGACAGAGTCAGATATTTTTTTAGTTCAAAATAACGGAAAGAATGTTTCTAGTTTAGGTAGTAATAATATCTCACCTTCACAGACCGCTTCTCCTCTTTGGTGATGGAGGCTGTCAATTTGGACTGCAAAAGAAGAACAAGTGGTTTCACAAAACAAATATATACTCATAAGGGAGAGAATCAGATATTTGTTTAGTTCAAAATAACGGAAAGAATGTTTCTAGTTCATGTAGTAATAATATCTCACCTTCACAGACCGCTTCTCCTCTTTGGTGATGGAGGCTGTCAATCCAGACTGCAAAAGAAGAACAAGTGGTTTCACAAAACAAATATATACTCATTAGGGAGAAAATCAGATATTTGTTTAGTTCAAAATAACGGAAAGAATTAGGTTAGGTAGTACTAATATCTCACCTTCACGGACCACTTCTCCTCTTTGGTGATGGAGGCTGTCAATCCAGACTGCAAAAGAAGAACAAGTGGTTTCACAAAACAAA